CTTAATGATGGTGGCTAATAATCAATTGGTAGTCAGGACCGGGCCAAGTGGTTGTCCCTGGGCTGGTTCACTGTGCAGTCGTAAGGGTCATATAGCAGTTTCAGTTGAGTAGATATTACTTTTTGTTACTAATGCTAGCAACTTGAAATTTGGTTCAGCTACCTAACGGGTTTTCCAAAAATCCTTACAAATTTTTGACTTTCTAGGTACTCTGGAAGGTTCTAAATTGGTTCCTACACATGAGATGAAAGGGAGATGCCACGACAAATGGTGTGTCCCTCTGATGAATATTATTTGCATCTCATTACATTTAGTGAAAAATAATGTTTCTTTTTATTTTTTAAAAATAACAGTAAACATATCAAACTCTTGAGACCCAACTAGGAGCTTTTTCTTGAAAGACACTATAAAACATGGGCCATGGACTGTGGACTGGACTACAGACTGAAAAATTAGATTGATAGATTCCAAATTTCCAATTAGAATAGTAATAATTAGATATACAACCCACATTTAAAAATTTTTTAAACCTCATAATTTTTAAACCACACTTAATGCTGCACGTGGATAATATAGACGCTGGTGTATTACTCGATATCTATGCTCGATATGAGTGACTGCGACGTAGTAGAAGCCAGTTCTGGCTCATTAAGTGATTCTGATGAGTCTGTGGTTTTTATTAGTGAAGAGTAAAGTCCAGCAGCAGAAAAGCAGGTAGTAGCTACAGTTTTCACTCCAACTAAGTGACTGCCAAGTCCCGCTTCCAACTCGAGGTAAAAGCAGAAATTTTTGTGACTATAATTACCCTTCTTTTTGGTAGTGATGAAAGTGATGATAATTTTGAAGTGGCAATTGCTGTAAAACATTCTCGTAAAAGGTAAATCTAGTTATTATTAAAATTGGGAGTGGTCAAGACAAAAATGGAGGTTTACAAGTCGGGAACAAATTTTGAGCTCTTTAATAGCAACAGAATAGAAATGCTCAGTTTAGAAATGTTATAACATAGACAGAATCTCTGTGAGTCTTACTAAGAACTCAGCTGTGCATGCCAGGTGGTAAAATCAATTTTAGGAATATTCTACACTAACTTGATAGTTTTGTTCTATTTTAGGTTCAAGTTTTTGGAAGAAAAGCACAAGTACTATGAAAATGATCCTGAACTTCCATTGTATTCAATAGTCAGTAGTGGTTATCAAGCTTCAGAACTTTGCCAATTTATTGATGGCCAAAAATACTGACCTGCAACGAGTATGCCACATTCAGCCACTTGGTGTCGCAAAAATAGCCACATTTATGATAAATTTGGATCATGTTTTATTTAATGATCTCAAAGCGATGACCTAGGTTTATGGTGTACAAATAGCACCAAATCAACATATTTTTTATGTCTCGTAATGGTAGCATATGATTGGCTTCTAAGAAACCTGATCACTCTTCGAATATACCTTATTATACTCTTACCAGACGCTATTATACTCATGGGACAAACAAATTATTTTGAAGAATAGTCATACACATACGAGGTGTGTTATTGTATTGTAACTCTGTTATAAGGTTCCAATTTCTTTACTTTTTGTTCCTTATCTACACTTAAACGGTCAAAAGAAAAATATATTCCATGATCCAATATCTATTTGATAGACCTGAGATTGATATCAAGATAAAGCCTCATGAAAATTCGAAGGATGATCGCCCTTCTTAGAATGGCTACATCAAAAAAAGAGGGTATTGAGCAGTTAGCATCCTCAAACACTCCTAATGATGTAGAGTCCATTGTCCAAAGTAACAAAGGAAAAGGGTGGTAAAATTGATACTTAGGAATTGGAACACTCGCACAGGATTGTCGTCACGTGTGTTATGCTAGACAAAAGCAAGCCACAAGTTCTTGTGATCCACTATATAGCATAATGGTGGGATGCGAGCTTGCACAAGGGTCATCAAGTATATACGTTCAAGATGTAAAAGCTGCTCCACATCCAATGAGTGTGTCTTGCTTTGAGTGGCAGATACAAGACACGATGCGTTTTCTGACATACAGCTACCACTCACTGTTTTAAGTGTTGATACTACCTACAAACTGGGTGAGTTCTATGTGACACCTATGACATACCACCATCTTTTGGCTGAAGATATTGAAACAAATAAAAACCCTGTGATGTTGGGCCGATTGCTTGTGCATCAAAAGGTTGTTTTTACTGCTTTCAATTATTTTGTATGCACTTTTCCATTGGATTACGGAGGGAACTCTGAAATTTATCAGCTGTTCGTACTGATTGAGACAAAGCAAATGTAGAAGCTCTATCCTACAATTTTCCTTTCGCAATACAACTACGATGCTTCCTGCACTTCAAGAAAAATGTAGAACAGAAGTTACAAGAGCATGGAATCCCTACAAAAGTTATGGATGAGTTTCTTTCTGACATTTTTGGAAATTGGGTTAGTAATACATACCAAGAGGGACTTGTTGATAGCTGCTCTGTGGAGGACTTTCAGGAAAGTATTAAAAATTTGAAGCCACTTTGGGATGCTCGAGAGAAACCCCATGCTCCAGCAAGTGGACCTCCATTCTTCAATTACTTCATTAAGTACCAAGCAGATGTTATTTGCAATCATACGAGGAAAGATCTTCGTGAAAGTGCTGGTCTTGGCTCCCCACCTGCAAAGTTTACCACAAATGCATCAGAACCCTTAAATGCAGCCATTAAACGAAAGGTAGATTTTAGGAAGTCAGATTGGCCAGAATTTATTTCTCATATGAAATTGTATGCAGAGTCTCAGAGAGAGGAAGTTATTAGGACATTATCTAGTCGTGGACAGTACCGTTTACTCACACATGTTGCTCATTTTGGTGTTCCCAGACAATCCTGGTTAAAAAAGACACCAGAACAGAGGCACGAAGTGGTCTCTGCATTTGAAAATGCCAAACTTCCAAGAAGTAACACAAAGACAGAGGAAAATTAAGAGTTATGTAACACACCTCCCTCATCATATCGCACTACTTTATTTGTCTCTGCTGAAGACTGTGGAATTATTTCAATACCACTTGTGACACTAAATAGCATGTGGAACAAGGCATCAGAGTTACTCAAAGATGCAAACGCCATAACCACTACACCTGGGAGTGACACAAAGGCAGGAATGATTTTGTCCAATTCTCATGACACATATTCGTTACCATGCTGATGGCCAGTATCCTTGTGATAGTAACTGCCCTCAGTGGATGACAAGTCAAATTTGCTCCCATGTATTGGCAGTGGCAGAACAAAACTCCGATCTGTTGAGCTTTCATGAATGATATTTAAAACAAGGACAAAAACTGAGCCTAATCTTTCTTCTTTAGCTTTCATTGGCTTGCCAAAAGGTAGAGGTAAGAAAGGAGGTAGGCCTAAAAGACAAAGGGCTAGATCTACCACTCCCACTCCTGATAATGTCTCTTTTCAGCCAGGTCTGTTGTCAGTTTCAGCTAATGCTGAAAGCGGTTCTGTAACCCAGGCACCTGTGCTACAAGTTACTAAAGGCCTTTTCACACTGGCCAAAGTAATGCGCATTGATGCGCATTAATCGTGTTCACACTAGAGTGGTTTTCAATTAATGTGCATTGATGCGCATCACTCTCACTTCACCTCCAGAGGTGGATTGATGTGAAGTGATGCGCTTTGATCAATGTAAACCAATGGCAACAAGAACACAAAATGATACGTAATTCAGCTGCTAGTGTGAACAAGATCAATGTGCATTATTTCAGCTGTATCAACAAAGCGCATCAAAGCGCTTTGAAAACTGTGCTAGTGTGAAAAGGCCTTAACTGTCAGCAGCCAGTAACTATCTCTTTCTGCCATCACTACTGGTTTCTCACCAGTGCTCCAGTATTGTCCTCTTCATGTGACTTGTAGTTCTCAAGACCAATCTATGACATTAGGCCCACGTTTCATGACTGTAACTCAGCCAAATGTTAACCCATTCTTCCTTAAGAAACTTTGGGAAACATCAGGGTATGTCAGGGCTGTAGAGGAAGCCTTTGAGCATTTGATGGAAGCATCCCAAGCCCTCCATATGATGTAGTCGTAGCATGTCTGGAGAGGAGGCCATTTCGGGATCAAACTGGAGATTGGAAGACACCTTCAAAGCCTTCTGCTGGATATTACCATGTTAGTTTGCCTTGCCTGCATGCTGCTGAACCAAATTTTGTTCCTAGTAATTTGGTTGTTTTACCAGATTTAACCTCCCTTCTTACTGTGTATCATAAATAATGGATAAACACCTCCTATGAGGCGTTTATGGAATTTGGGAACGGAGGGTGAAGCCCGAGGTTTACAAATTCCATAAAAGCCTCATAGGAGATGTTTATCTGTTTTAAACATATTCATGCAGACGTGGGTAAGGGACGTGGTTAATTAGTAACGTATATGGTATATCAATAAGAAAAAGCAAGAAGAGATCAAGAAAGAGATAACTACTGCCTCACAGGATATTCTGGAAAAAACGCCATTATGCTTAATGCCTTGCAGGATTATGAGGAGAGTAAATGCTATGAATAATCTACAAAGCTGGAAGAAAGTGGCCACATGGACAAAGTCGAGGATGAAGTACAGATTCAGAGGTTTGCCAGTCCTGTGATAGAGGAGGACATTCCGAAAGAAAATTGAAGGCACAATCCCAATGACAACTAAGAAGACTACAGAATGGGCAAAACGATAGTGGGAAGAATGGAATAGTCATTGTTCAATAAGCTCGGCCAAGATTCCTCAGTCTCTTGAGGGTATAGACAATACATCTCTAAATCACTGGTTGCCTAGGTGTGTCATGGAATCAAGGAAACAAGATGGGAATTATTACACAGGAGGCACTTATACAGCTTTTGTGCTGGAGTCCAGAGGTATGTGCAAGAAGAGAGAATCAAAATGGGCATTCAAGAGCATTTGGATATTTTCAAAGAACCTGCATTTGAGTACTTCTGAAGAACCTTTGATAGTACCCTGAAAGAGCTGCACAGAAAGGGCATGGGCACCACTGTAAAGCAGGCAGAAGTTATTTCATTGGACTTGGAAGAGCACTTATGGAATGAAGGTGCACTAGGAGATGACAATCCTCAGCAACTTCTTGACACTCTTGTGTTCAAGCTTTGCTTGCACTTTGCTCTACATAGCGGAGCTGAACACAGTAGTCTTCGTCCTGACATGCTATTTCTGCATGAACCAGATCAGGCTACTTCCTACCTACCTTATACAGAGAGTGGTTTAAAAAACCATTCTGGTGGCTTAAAGGAAAGGAAATTAGAGAATAAATCAGTAAAGCTGTTTGCAAATGAGGTTGATGAAAGGAAATGTGCCGTTAGAATGTACCGTACAGTTGGTAAATTTCGTGGGGTATTAATTTTCGTTAATTTCGTGGTTTATTTTTATCCACGAAATTTTAACCCCTACCCACCCACACATAAAAGCGAATTAACAGGCCATGCAGAGCTCTAACTACTATTTTCAAGCCAGTAGAGGAGCCAGAGTTCTTGTCTGTTACTCCATATTCCACCATAAGCCATGTGTTGGAAGCTAGTCCAGTAGATCCAAGTGAAAAGAAGTTTGCTAACTACCACCCACGAATATTAGCTTCTAAGGATATTTTGGAGAAAACACGAAATTTTGGACCCTCGAATATTACCAACCGTACGGTATAAGAAGTACATGGCTCTGAGATCCAAATGAGTGGACACGGAGTAGTATACTGAGCAATTATCTCCGTATACCACTGATTGACTTTATACAGGGCAGGAATGGACATTTCCATTTACTAGGCTATATCTTTCTTTACAATAAGAATCATCAATTTACGCACTTCAGTAGCTGTTCTTCATCCATCTACCTGTGTTCCTGCTAAATATTACAGCATTTGGAGGAACTTTGTGTGGAACATTTACCAATTGAAGATGAGGCGTCAGTGCCGCCATCTTGTCATTCCTTTATGTATGTATGATAATTTTTTTACTTTTTGAATGGTTATATCTAAATTTCAAACAATTTTTGACAATTTGCTCACTTATTTTGTGAAAGTACAAAATTCTTACTACCCAATGATGCAAAAAAGATAAAGAAATTCAAAACTTTGTTTGGAACATTTGTCTCCTAAAGGTGAAGTAATTTTAGCCATTTTAATGATGACGACGGGGTGCAGCAGCAAGAGTCAACAAGTCACAAGTGCTTTCCTCTTCTCTTAGGAATAATAAAGTGAAAGAAAGAGTGCTTAACATCTTATATATACAAGCAAATAGTGTCTCTAGACCTTTTTGAAGTAAGACGGCCGTTTGTTGAGAAGAGCCTAGTGTTTTTTCACCACGCTTGCAACTTTAACAAAAGAATATGAGAAAACTACCATAACCAATTGCATTAAGTAGCATTCTAGAAGCCTCAAGTATCTAGTGAAGTCCCATCCATGTACCAGAAAGACGTTAGCAAGCTTTGTAGTGAAGCTAGTAGTGAATCCACCATTGCTGAACTGCCGTTGCTATGGTAATTCCAATGAATATCATTAAATTAACGCGACCGGAAGTCCCATTGCAATTTCTGGACATGTTGTAATTCTCTTGCTAAAACTGTCAAAAAGCTGTGTCTTGATGTTGAAGTTACTGGGCATTTCACTAACCACTCTTTAAGGAGAACAGCTGTGGCTCGTATGCTTCAAAAAGGTGTACAAGAGGATAAGATAATGTCAATCACTTGTCATCGAAGTGCTAAGGCACTGAGAGCCTTTACAAGGAAATGAATATTGAACAGAAAGAGGAGGTTTGTGACATTATCCAGCCAAAGAGGAAGAAGAAAGATGATTATAAGAACCATAATGATTGTCAAAATAAGGAAAAAGCATCAGCCTTCACTTTCAGTAAATGTAGTTAAACCTTTAACTACAAATAAGTGAACTTGAGTTACTCAATGACCATTTTCATTATTTGACCATTTTTTGTATTTGATGGTTGATATTGATTTACAATTAATTCTCATTATGATTGATTGTGTAAACTTGTAGCTTATTATTGCATGGCTTCCCACCAGTGGTTTCCATAGCATTTAGACACCTCATTCATATCATTAACATCAAACAGAATTATTTATGATGGTTTAAAGCGCTCTTAATGTTTCATTTTGGCATGCAACTGACTTAAATGCTAAGCAAGGTATAGATATAAACTTATCATAATTAGAATTCTTTGATTATGTCTTCTATTGGTATTTGATTAGCATAGCTACACTTTATAATTATTAATATGAATATTACTATTAATAAAATTAATCTAAAATGAAATGCAACCGTTATCATTTTTCTTCTGTGGTTCATTTTTTGGTTTAGTTTTTCAGTCCACAGTCCATGGTCCATGTTTTGTAGTGTCCCTTTTCTTGAGGATAATTCTTGCTATATCATTCCACAGCCATCTTAATTGTAGTTGTTCTTCATTGCCAGTAGGCCCAGTACACTCGTTGATTCAGCCCTATTCCAAGCTCCATACTAGCAACAAACAGGCACAAAAACAAGAAAAAGATAGATGGGGTACAAGCAACCACTATAGAGGTACAATAAATATTAAAGTAAGTTAAAAAGAAGAAATGCTAAAAGAATGACAGAGCTTGCACATTGCAGCCATATTTGGGCAGAGCTAAACGTGATACTTTAATGACAAAAACATTGATTTATTTCTGTTTCTTCCCGACTATACTCATGCCACCATTTGACTGTGTTTGTTAGGCTGTCAGGCAGATTTTCAGAATATCCAATACAAAAATTCAATAATAATGTGAAATTATTGCTTCAAGTCAATTTTACTATTGTTTTTTTTGCCATGCTTTCTACGCGTGCTTGTAGGTCAACTGTCTCACCTATATTATTTTCAAATGTCATTATAATACATTGTGCTAGGATTGAGCCATAAAAAGAACAGTGCCAGTGCGGGAGCCATTTTGTTATTTTCAAATCTGGCTGCCATATAATGCCCAGGGCACATGCTTTTATGTAATATATATAGCATGGGTGGCAGTGCTCTATGGCAGATAGCAAACCTAAGGCCGAACCAAAACCGAAACCGAGGCCAAGGGTCTACTATCTGCCATAGAGCACTGCCACCCATTCTATATACAATATAAAGTGTACTTGGTCAAAGATAGCCATCTGCAAAAGAATATACTCGATCAAAGGTAGTAGCCATATTGAAGTTTACTGAGCATGTGCAGTAGAACAAAAAGACACGTGGCTGCCTGCTATCACAACAACAGGTCTGCTATCACGACAGCAGACCTGTGCGCAGATCTGCTATCATGATAGCAGACCTGTGGCTGTGGCAGGTCTGCTATCACAAGTAGCAGACCTCGCGGCTCCTTTGATCTACGTCACTAGTATACTTTATATTATTATGGGCAGAAGCAGTTTGACGACAATTTGTGGATAGTTTTATAGTGCCGCTTCTTGTTTAAGCTTCTATTTCTCTTTTGAAGCAAGCAAATGTATCATGAACATTAAATGCCTATGAAAATATTGAAACTTTCAGACCAATGTGGGTCATATGCAATTGTAGTAATATTAGTAATAGGGTAGATGCAGAACTTAAGTATCAGTAATAGTAATAGTAATTGTATCAGAATATATTGCATATGTTAATTGTCACTTAATACAAACTTCGTGACTAGTTCTTTATATTCCAGAACATAAATGCTCTTTATTGCATTTGTTAGTCCCGATGTATCAAGTCTTTTAAAGTTGTGTACTTGTATTAACTAAACATCAATTCTGCAGGACTCTTATGTAATTATAACAATTTTGTTAGCAACTGACCCTAAACATGATCTAAATGTTTTAGACAAAAGGGTCCCAGTACCGAAGGTTGCATTGTCACCATAGTCAACACACATGCAAATTGTAGCATTGCTAAAAATTAATTTACAGTGAACTAGTCATAAAATATATCAGTTACTCAAGAGACATTCTACATAATTGAACACAAACTCAACCAAAGTATTACCTTTAATACTTTCTTTTCGAAGATGAGGATCAAGACCACCTTGAACAATTCCAAATAAACTTTGTCTTGTTTCGGAACTGTGGGCTTTTTCACAACGATCTAACCATCTACAAGATCTTTTCATTGCTTTTTCCACTCTCTCACCAACAGTTAATGAATGAACCACATCATCTAATTGCATAATAATATCACCTCCAATAATATTTTGTATAGATATTGATGCTTCAGGACTCAGTAGCATAGGTGATGCATTATACGGTGATTGAAAATGAACTCCCTCCTATAATTAAAAAGTTACTCAATAACTGCCCAAAACACACTTAACAAAGAATCATAACGAAACAAGTCTGAAATAAAAGCTCAAGCTTGAGTACAATAAATAAGTAAAAATTTATTTATACCATGAAAATGCTTAGACAGCATGCATATTGGACAATTATTACTTTCGCTTGCAGCAAAATTAAAAACACAAACTCTAGTTCTATAGCTGTATAGTTCTATAGCTGGAAAACATTAGGTAAACTAACAGTAGGACTAGTCTATGGGGCCTATTACTGGTTCTGTTTGTTGATCATCATCATTTTCATCAGAGTCAAAGACCTTGTTACCACTCCCAAAAATAAGGCTTCTATGGCAATTTCCAGAACTATCAGTTGATCTATGACTAATAGCCTCTCTGTTAGCCAAAATCACATAGACTGCACTGCTAATCTTCAGTATGACAATATACTCCAGTTTCTTGAGTCTTTCCAAATGTGAGTAGCATTTACCACAAATCCTTACAGTTGTGGCATCATCTTTGCTTAAAATACAGTCTAAGTCAACTGCAAATTCCATTTCTCTCAGCTTCAATCTTTTCCAAATGGACAGAACTTTCTTATGAGACTTAGTATATCTCTCATATGAAGTGAAATTTTCTCCACATCCATAGCAGAGCATAGCCAGACAAGGTAGGAGGCAAGAGTGTCAAAAACTAAATAAATGTACCTAAAAACCTCTATTATGGCTTGTATGCTATAGCAGGTAGATGTTCAAGTTCACAACTTTGCGTGCCAGCTAGCTGGGCATCAACCTGGGCACAACTGGTCGTGACCCCGTCATTATAGGGTCGGGCTACTAGACTGGTGCAAACATAGACGTTTCTTGGGGCTCACTCAGGCTCACCCTAACTTCACAACCATTAAAATTATATAATTTAGGGTTACTGGACAAGGGTAAAAAAGTGACTGTACATGTGTAAGACTGTACAGACATTTAAAGTTTTACAAACAACAAAAAATATTACAAAATTATCTAATCACTTACTTCGGTCACATTAGAGAGCTCTAACAAAGACACCATTTGAAACCCACCACTATCCTAAAAAAATTAGTGCACCAATACAGAAATGAGTGTATTTGTAAAGTACAGTAAGTACAAGTTCAGCAATACTTTTCTGCATAGAGTGCATGTACATGTACATCTACTTGTACTTACATTGAAGAATGATCCATGTGAAATGTAAATTAAAACAAGTCAAGTGTCTGTACAGTGAATTGTTTGTCATTTAAAGAATACACTGCCTCAAACTTGCATTATTTAAACTTTTTTTCAAAGTATATTTCATATTTAAACCAAAAAAATTGTTTATATGACTCAAATCTCCTAGAATTACAAAATTCAATCTGCACTCTACACAAAAATTAATTCCGCCACAATGTTAACAATCATACTCTCACAAAGTGATTATAATATTATTACATTCATAATCAAATACTTTGATTATTCATACTTTACTTTGCTGCCTGCACAACCTAAGCCTCGTATACAACTGGCAGGATAAGCAGTTGACATGGGATTAGCAACTTCAGTTACTGACTGCACTGATCTGAGTGTCTGACACTTGCAATATCAAATAATAAACATGGGTCAACCAACCTAAAGCTGGTAGTACTGGTAACCCTACAAGTAAAACCTTAAACTTCAGTTAGCTAGAATCAACTCATTTTGAGATGTTATAGCCAGAGTATCAGCTGAAGACATGCCAGGTCTCACTGTTTAATGGCCAAAGTAAAGCACTAAAAAGATGGTGGCACTAAAGTCTGTTCAGTTTCACCTGACCAATTGATTTTTTGTTATAACTTTTGATAAACATGGAATTTAGAAATTCTGTTTGCACCATTAGAATCGCTAGTTCCTTCCTGTCCTTTAGATAAAAAGATCGGGTCAAAATGATAAGGCCTTAGCCTTTTTTGCATGTCCCTGTCTAAACTCAATGACATACCTTTGACCACAATTATGCAGCTAGAACAACCAGAATAAATTTAGCTGCTACTTATCTGCATCCCTTCTGCACAACAAAAACAATTCCAAAAACACAAATACGTAAAGAATGTGGATGTGACGTAGTTAATTATTAATTTAAAAAGCCAGGTGTCAGGTGAAAGTGAATAGACTTTAGATAAAAGCAAGTCAGGCGGGGCCTGCCTCTCTAAACTGAGAGTCAGGTTCAGTACAGTAGCTAGTTTTGTGTAAAGCGTAGGATTTCTGCGCTAGCAGAAAACAAGTCATAATGAAACAAGTAACACCCACACAAACCATGAATAGCATTATCATTAATTAAAAATGGATGTACAGTAAGAAATAGTGCTCGAAATAGTGTCTAGAAAGCTGAACTATGTACTAAAGGAGGAGCAGTTTGTTGCTATCAAGACATTCCTCAAAGCAAGAGATGCTTTCATAGTACTACCCACTGACTATGGAAAGTGGATTTTCTCTTCTTTGGCCTTAATTGCCTCAGTTGCCTATACATCATTAGCATCAGTAAATGCACCAGAATCTACCAAAGCTCTTCTTGCATCTCTAACATTTTAAAGCACTACCGTCTAGCTTCTTCAGTTTTCAAACAACTGATACACAAGGGTGACAACATTTATTTTTAGTCATTTAGTTTGTCTAAGTCAAAATCACTCACAATCTCTGTAACTTGGTCCATAAAAATGATAAAAATGCTTCTTCTACACATTTATAACATCTCTGAACCTTTCTGCAAATGGATCACGTTTGTTTTTGCTTTCTGTGCTCAAGTCCTTACGACAGCTTAAACACAACGGCGGCCATGTTTACAAGAGAAAGGGTGGTGCTAATTTTCAGCCCCACCTATAGTATATGCATGCTACCAGCCACACCCTGTGACACAAAACTAGCTGCGTACTGAACCTGATTCTCCGTTTTCCCATGAGAGGCAGGCCCACCTCACTAGATAAAAGCGGGACCAGGAGTTAGATCAGGAGAGGGAATTCAAAGATAAAAGTGGCAGTGTTGAGGGAAAAAGTGTGGGAGTTGACGGATAAAACTGCAGCAAGTATGAGAGTCCAAAGCCAGGGTTAATAGATAAACACAGGAATTTGCAAAGAAAAAAGGCTGGATACACATATTCTGCTGTGTCGCCAAGAGAATATATTGTTTGCAGATTGTAATCCTTTTCTTTGATATTGGCCTTGCCAACGCAAAGTATAGGTACAAGTAGTTGCCGTGTCTGTCAATCATTCATTCTGTACAACTGGGTTTTGTCTCAAATAAACTATAACTTTAGCACAATAAGTTTCAAGCTACTCGACTGTTCTCATTGAAATGGAAAAGCCTTCCTCAGCTGTTTTTGTGCTGCTCAAATTTAAGCACAAGTTACAGAAAACTTTCATGTAAAAATTATTCCCCTTCCTGTTCAGCTCCTTCAGACATTTGTCTAAACTCAACCTCATTCTTGAACTTTTAGAAAAGACATTTCCAACATTCTACTGAATCATCTTTCTTCCAATAACCTCTTATTTGAACAAGCCATTCTGCCTTATCTTCTCTCTCTGCTGCTACTCAACATATTATTTTCTACTTTTGACTCTGGTTTTTCATTCAGTGGTGTTTCATGATGTTAAAAGGGCCTTTAATTCTGTCAGTCACAGTATTCTTATATCCAAACTTCAGTCTCTGAACATTCCTACTCAGATTGTATACTGGCTCTTCTCCTATATTTTTGACCGGTCCGTGATGGTGACTCTACTTCCCCTCCATCTTCTGTGTCCTTGGGTGCTCTACAAAGCTCCATATTAAGTCTACTACTATTTTTTCTTTTTGTTAACAATTTTGATATTCTCTCACTCATCTAACTCTAAAGTGTTCCTGCATGCCAATGATCTTCTTTTACACACACTCTCTCATCAATCTGATCTTTCACCTCTTTAATCTGATTTGGATATCATCACCTCCTAGTTCTCCTCCAATTGACTCTCGGTTAAGTGTGAACCCTCTCAAAATCTAAGCATATGTTCTTCTCCCTGAGACATCAGTTTTCATTTAATTCTTTCCCCCCACTGCTCTTGTCTCGCACCTCATGTTAAAGGGTGTTTTTAAGTATCCGGGCCTAATCCTCTCCTGCAATCTTTATGGTCCAACATACATGTGCACTTTATCCAGCACCATCAAAGAGCTATACATCTAAAAGGCCTAATCTACCGTCAGTTCCACTCCCTATCCTACTAGAAAACCCTTCTTTCTCTCTATACTACAATTATTAGTCCTGTTTCTGAGTATTTTTTCAATCTGTTATCCTGCATCAGTCTCCCTCTCTTTATCACTATAATCAGTAGAGCAGTTGCTCTCAATTGAAATCAAGGTCTGCCCCCTACTATGACCTTCTGTCCTTTCAATTTAAGTAAACCTGTCTGCCCCATACCATGACCTTCTGTCCTCTCTTATCTCAGAAACTTTGCACACTGTTGGTAAAAATTATGATGTTTTTAATAATTAATAATGGCCTAATGCAATCAACCCTTCCTTTGACTCAACAACCTCCCCCTCCACCAGTGTCTCTTAGCCTTTTTGTCCTCACAATTACATTGTACCATTTTGCCGTACATCCTCCAAATCTCCATTCCTTCTAATCAAGTATCATAAAATCAAGTATCACAAATGAAGAGACAGATGCTTGTGTCCTTACGTGCTTGCTTTGCTGACATGGAGTCATATGTCATGGCTACAATTCTAGACCCTCACTTCAAACAAAGAGTGTTTTCTACTGCCAGTTCAGCAGCATTAGCTAAACAAAAGCTAATATCTCAGTACAAGGCTCTCTCATCAGTTTTAACCGATACGTCATCTACAAAACCTACTAAACGCAATAGAGTACACAAGACAGATTCAGTTCAATGGCAGCATTGTGACGAAATAATGGAGGATACCACAGTACATCACTATCTATAGAATAGATATGATTTTGGATACTTATCTTAGAGAGCCAAATGAGCCAAGACACTCAAGTTCTCTTATACATCGGAAGAAGAACAGCATTGCTCGTCCTATATTATCATCAATGCCTCTGAAGTACCTTTCCTCTCCAACATCTACTGTTGCATCTGAGAGGCTCTTCAGCCAAGCTGGTAATATCTTGACAGAATCCCGCAATCATCTTTCTCCTGATAAGTTAGACAAGTTACTCTTTTTAAATAGAAACTTACAAGTATTGGTAACAAAGTTGGTATTTGTGTATACATTAAGTGTAATATTGGTATCAAAAGTGTTGGTAAATTATGGTATCGGTGGAACACTACTAACAATGCCTTAGAGTAGGCCTGGGATGTATACCAATATTGCAGTATTAAATTAGTTAATGTACAATTATGTAAGCAATACCGAATATTAAATACCAAATACCGTCATATACCGCAATTACTATACCAAAATATTTAATACTGCATTGATAACATAGAATTTATACATGTGCTAGCTTAAGTGGACAGGAGACTAAGCAGATGACTGATTCTCTTGTTGCTAAACCGGGCACTAAGAGTGTTGTGTGGGAGTACTTTGGCTTGTGGTTAGGTCCAGATGGTAAGCCAAATGACAATGGAACGGCTATCTGTCGTCTTTGTTCCCAGTTTCGATCAGCAAAGAACTTTAACATGACTAATCTATTGACTTTTGTACTTCGCACCAATTAGTTCATTCTTGTGTGAAGAACGCAATGGCAGGTAAAGTATCTACCTCTAAAGCTACTGTTGAACAGCAAAGGCAGCAGACATTATCTCAATCACTTGTGCATGTTCAGAAATATGAAAGAAAGGGAAAGCACTAGAGGGAGTTGACAGATGCAATTACTTACTTTCTGCCTAAAGAGATGCTTCCTTTCAACACAGTACAAAAGCCTGGTTTTGAAAATATGATTGCCAACTTTGACAATAGGTATGAAGTTCCCAGTACAAGTTACTTCTCAAGAACAGAAATACATAAACTGTACAATGTCACTTGAAATAATGTACAGTCAGAGCTAAGTAGAGTTCAGTACCTTATGCAACATGTTGCATGAAGTTGAGAGTATGTCTCCTTCATGCAACATGTTGCACTATCTAGCGCTTCTGAAGACCCAGATCTATTGCTTTATATACCAGTTAC